ACAGGGGATGTGGTGTTTAAAAGCCCTTTTCCTCTGCAGAGGAATGAACTGAACAAGACACAGCAGCATGAAAGTGCCAGATACACAAAAATCACGACAAAAATACAAGCTCTACCACATTTACCTCAGGTGTTTCAGGTTCTTCTGCTACTTAAAATAAGCAAATTTTAAGAGAAGCATAGTTTTTCTAAATCAACACTATAAACAAGAAACTTCTCAATACTTTTGAGATTTGGTTCCCTTACTTAAGATTTACTATTAGTTCATAAAATCCCATTCAGATCATTTATGATATATGTCTTGGTAACATTTCTTTATCTGGCTGAAATTACTCAAATTTACTTTAATTTGTAAAATAATACAGATTTACATGAAATAAAATGCAAACTTTTTATAAAAAGCAATTATTCCAGTATTCTCCCAAAGCAACTTGTATTAGGAAGAACTACATTCATAGCTACCTCTCCATATTACTCAGAAGAGCCATAAATGCATGCTGAATATCTAATCTAATTCAGAACAACTGAAAATCAGACAATGCTCTGTTGAATGTTACTTTGCCACAGTACAACAGGATGAAATAAATTTCAAGGTGAGTATTTTTACCTTTGGGTCATCTCCAAACTGCCCAAACTGTACATCATTTAGCAAACTACGAGCTGTTTTAATTATATCTTTACATTTCTTAGGTGTTTCTTCAACCTTTCCTGCTAGGAAGAGACAGCAGGCTCCTGTCACCTAAAAAAASGAAAGTTTTCAAAAAGTGGTCTGCATGTAGACATGCAATAGAGCATAGCATTATAAAAGCACTGGCAGTTTCCACTAACACTTCTGTAAAAGTCTCCCAGAAAAGACTTAATGAACATATTAATCTCTAATTTGAATATAGCATTGAACTTTTATTTTCTCARAAGAAAAATACAGAATTTGGAGGACTGTCCATTTTATACAACTTTATTTCAAAATCAGAAACCCAAGGTACAATTTGTCCTGGTTCAACACTGTCTGTTGAGCAGTTTTAAAACTGTATTACACTTCTWTTTTTCTTYTAGCTAATACTGGAGTGCCAGCACTACAGTAGATATTCTTTCCAAAGAACACTATCAGCAAGACATTACTGCAATGTTATTACACTTCCAAACATAAACACAAATGCATAAACAGGTAAGAACAATGAATTTTCAGCTGTAATAATTAAAAAACAAAATGCTAATTTTCCATCTTTCTGTGGTGAACAGCAGTAGTACCCTAGTGATTAATCACCATTTCAAATAGTCCACACAATCACTGAAAGGTCATCAATATTCTRAATACTTACATATCTTGGGAACTGTTTGAAGGAATGAAACATATAAAACCGATGGAAATAAATTATTCCGGTTGCTAAAGTATCATAATGTCTGTGGTGCAGATTAAGGACTTTCAAACAGCACATAAATTTAAAATCAAACATGCACAATGGATTCTGCTTTATCAATTACCTCAATAAGTTGCTGTTCAGTGAGAAGTTAGAAAACACTGCAAGTAAAACARGAGCTTTAGGAAAAAAAAGTCGCAAAAGCCCTTAAAGCTGGGTAAACATTCTGGTCAGGCCTAGATGCAGCTGATTCCTAAAGCATTTATTGTAAGTGTGCAAAGTCCTGATTGTATTTACAGGAGGATGCACATAAGGTCAGCTCCGTGTTGCACCRAACCTGCTTCAGCAAAGGTAAAAACCAGCAGAAGTTACACAAAGGAACAGAACAATTATCACTTCACATTCAAGTGCTAGAGTGGAGGAAGGTTGCTATTCACACCTACAAATGCAAACAAAAGCTGTGCATGCTCCCTACTCTTCACTTTAAGAAAAGTAAAGTTTGTCTTCACTGCACTTCATTAAAATTAGCTAAGRAGATTAAAGGAAGCACAGGAATTAGGAAGTAAAAGATTTAAGTGGCCATCTATGAGTGGGACTGTCAGAACTTATATACAAAATTGAAAATCCCAAACCAACGAAACAAAAAAAAAGCCACCAAAAACTAAGAGCGTGGAAGCAGAAGCTGGAAGCCTCAGAGGCACAGTCTGTAGGAAAATGAAGGAAAAATTCAAACTTTCAGAACTCATGTAGATTCATATAGTGAAACACTGAGTTTCAAAACAGACAAAAGTTACTCTTACTTGGAAAGTTTGTATCCTCTTACTTCCTTATTGCTAAAAAGGTTCAGTTGGAACATTTTTTATCCAATAAATGGATAAAAATTGTGTAGGAATACATTACATCAACAGGCATGTAAACACAAAAGTATTTTTAATTAATGATTAAGAAATGTTTGAACATGTACCTTGAGCACATGACATCTGTTATACATTTTATTCTGAAAGCTCACTATTCATAAAGACATTTCATACCAACATGAGGTTAAAGGATACAGCCCTAAACGTGTTCCCACATCGAATATGAATCTGGCCCCTTCCCTGCGGTATCGTGCCTCTGTAGCTGGATCAAGCCCCTCTAGTTGTGATGGTGTATGTGCCAAATCTTTCTTATCCCAGTACCAGCATGGCTTTGTATGGTCCAGGTTTGCCAAGTTTACAGAAGGGCTGGAATTTTCTTTATTCTCCTTCATTTATTAAAACAGAATTGTCCTTGCTTTTTAAGTTTTCAAAAATGAAGTCTTCAGAGAGTCACTTCAGGACCTTGAAGTAAAGACAAAAGAAATTCTTTAAAAATAGAGACCTGCCCCCTTCAGTTCCTGCTCAAAGAGGAGTAAAGAGAAATAGTGTTTAGCCTTGCCTGTTGGAAAGTATGCCCAAAGACAAGAAAAGAACTTTGCCTTTATCCTCCCCATATATTAGAAATACAATCAAAGAAAAAGCCATAGGTTATCCTTGCTATTACCTGTTTAATACAGAAACTTCAAGAATACATCTCCAACAATATCTGCTATTTCTTAGCAGAACAACTTCCATCTACTTTGTCCATGAAAGTAAGAAAATACAATTTAGTGATGGCTGCAAAAAGATTTGAAAAGTTCGGGGGATTAGCTGATTATTGCTAACTAGGAAAGCCATTAGTGAGGTGAGCRTGAATGGCCCCTCAAGTAACTGCCTCGTCTCAAGGATACTCTGAGCAGCAACCACTTGGCAGAAACTTTGTAATGTAATCTGCATTACTTAAAGAAAAAAATGTAACAAAAGCAGTATTCTTTCACATACCAAGATTAAGACAACCAGTGTGAGTTTGCAGGGTACGGTAGCATCTGAAATAATCCCCAAAACAAGGCAATTGAATACACTCCAAGAGTCTCCTACTTGCCTGTTTTTACTAGCCCTTTGTGTACATAGATGAAGATCGTGAAGCTCTGCAGGCACCTTTCTGGAGTTTGAATTATTACAGATGTTCAGTCATGCCTCAAAGAATGAAGACTTGCTGCTTCTATTTCTTTCAGGCATAAAACTATTCTGACTGTAATCCAACTAACTACAGATACTATGCACAGATTAATGCAGTCATCTGCAAAGGTTTGCATAATAAACAGCGATTARCATATGATTCAATATATTTGCTCTAAGCAAGAAACTCACAGGAAGACCCAAACTTAAAACTATTAAAATTAGATGTCACTTTTCGAGACGTTTCTCTTCCGAAAACGGAAGGATGATCACGTGAACGGCCAGGAAAACGATGCCGACAATCTGCACCTCGCCCACTTTCATAAAGTTTGTGTTTTTCGGAATAAATGAAACTGTCTTTCCCTCACGGTAGTTTTGGAACCACCTTCACAACTCGTGGTATAAGTCACAGATTTAAACTCTATCACCAAAAAAAAAAAAAGTAAACGGTTACTAAAAACTATTTCCAGAATCAACAAAAGCACGCCAGGCCACGACGACACATTCTCCTTATATTTACTATAAAGATGCTTCTTTTTACAGCTGTTAAGGTTCTTTTTCCTTACACGCTGTTTTGCTTTCTAACTTTCAAATAGCTTAGAAACCATTTAACACTAAAAGCGCCTGAAGCAACGAGATCTGCTTCTATAAAAGAGAGAAAAAAATTCCGAATACGGAAACAGGAACAAAAATCATGACCGCAAACATCCTAGATGAACCATCTCAAACGTCCCAATCCAGACCGCAAACGCCCGGAAATAATAACGAAAGTTTCCCCTGCTTTTTTACACACCTCATTAACCCGGAGGAGAGTTCCAGAGCTCGATGGCGGTTTTTCAATCCTTATCTAAAACGAACCCGCCGACCGCGACCGCTGCTGCGTTCCCTGCAGCCCCAACCCGGCYGGGGATGCTCAACTCCTCTCAAACCCGCCCGCCCGCCCGCCGTAGACGGGGCTGCCGGTGCCCGGGGAGGCGCTCGCTCCCACCCCGGCCTCCCCGCTCCCTCCCTACCTTCCCCAGACGGCGGCTGTAGGCGGCGGACGGCCCGGGCGGACCCCGCGCACTCTCAGGCCTCGCGGGGAGCGGGAGCCGCACCGGAGCGCGGGGCCTCTCAGCGACAGCGCGGCCTCCGCGCCCTGCGCGCCGCCATCTTGGGAGCCAGGCCAGGCCGCGCTACGTCATCACGTCGGAAAGGCGTCGAACGCGAGGACAGAACCCTCCGCCAATGGGAAGATACATCCCCCRTCTCCCGCCCAATCCCGGCTCGTTCAGCGGCTGCTGAGCTCAGGGAGGCGGGCGATGTACGGCCGCACCGTGCGAGAGAAYCAATCGCAAAGCTAATGGAAAAGATGACCAGYCTTAGGAACCAATAGAGACCTGAAGGCGGGCACACAGAGACTGAATGGCAGCCAATGAGAGCGCTGCCATGCCCTTTTATGAGGCTGGCGGTGAAGGCGAGTGGGTGCTGATTGGGGATTGGCCGCCATGGGCGCGGGAGGGGCGGGGCCTTCCGGCGGGCGGCAGCTCGGCCAATGGCGGCGGGGGGCGCAGAGGGGGTGGGGCCGGGCGGAGCCACCGCCTCCCCACCGCGGGCAGCGGCGTCCGGCACGGGCTCGGCTGCGCCGCTCCCTTGGGCCAGGCAGGAGCGGCCGCTTGCGGGAGGTAAGGCGGGGCCTGCCCGGACCCCCTCCCCTGCCTCAGCCCCTTGCCCCGGCGCGGCACGGGCCCTTCCCCTCACCCCTCTGGGCGGCCTCGCCTCGCCCCGCTCTGCCTCCTCCTTCCCCGCGGGAGGCGCCGCTCTTTCCGGACACCCCTCCCGAGGCGCCCCTCGCCGCCCCCACCTTCCCCCGCGTGGCCGGACCGGGGCCGGTCCGGGCCTCCTTCCCCCGGGAGTCTCAGCTTTTGTCCCGGCTGGCCTTGGCCTCTCCCCCTGCACGGCCGGAGGGGCCGGTGCGTCCCCCGGGTCTGCCGTGGGCGGGCCGGGTTCGTTCCAGCCCGGCCTGCGCGGGTTTCAAGTGAGCGAGGCGGCGGCACTAGCGTTTTCACTTGCCCCATCCCCCCTCGAGAGGCTGATAGAAACGAGAGTCAAGCAAATGGCTTAAAACTGCTTTCCCCATGATGTAATTACTTTTTTTTTTATTATTATTTAATATGTAACACGGTTTGAAATGTGTCCCTATTCCAGCTTCCCAGAGAGCCTCCCGTGCCCCCAGYTCCCGGGGTCTGGCTCAGGGGCGTCTCTTCAGAGTCCCCTGGCTGGAGAAGAGTGCTCTGGTTTCTTTCCTTTCTCACCCTGTCTGCAGCCTGCCTTAGTTAAGGGGTTAAATCTTTGGAGGGAAGAAAAAATGGTGGGCAGGGTGTAAAATTAGAATAAATCATAAACTGCTCATCGGCAGAGGTGTTACTCCTGAAACAGCCTCGGTGTTTCAGCTTTCCCATATTGCTACAGGAGCTGCCCGTCCCATGAACCCTTCCTCCTCTTCCTTACCGAGCAACACTTGGTTAAGAGTTGCTTAAGCTGGAGCTGTGCTTTGCATTTAGTTCTTAGCAAACTCTTAAATTTTGAATTTGGCATACCGTTTTTTACCCTACATTCAGCTATCTGGATAAGCTCAGGTCTTCCTTTTGGAAATTGTCCATCACATTTCAAAGCTGCTCTTGCCCCAAGCTTGGCATCTGCTCTTCTAGATGGACTTGTCCTTGGAACCTAAGCTTGCTCCTGAGATCAGATTGAAAGTGGATTTTCTTTGTCCCTTCTAAGAGTACGTAATGTAAGCACCTGTCGATTCAAGTGACAGCTTTGTTCTCTGAAAATTGCTACAATGTTAGCTTAATGTCTCTCCAGTGTCTTCTGCTTTCAGTTGTTGTGAGCTCATAACTGTCAAGTGAAACATAAGAGTTTTGTAGGTGAGTAAACAACTGTGGCATTCTGAATGTCCACTATCATGTTCCTGGTATAAAATAGTAAGCCAGTGTACAAGTTGTTGGAGGGAAAGGCTTGATGGGCTCAAAGGTGGGGGTGGCTTCCTGATATTTTTGCTCAATTAAGTAACTTAATATGGTAGAGATTCAAGCATGCTGGCTTGTGCCTTAATAAAGTTTTCRGTTATGTTTAGCAGGGGTTGAAGTATATATTACAGTACAGTTGAAAACACATTCTTGGCATTATGTGCTGAGAAATAGATTTAGGGTGTTGGTTGAAGAAATACCACAAACCCCCCAAATCATTTGTAATCTGTATATCCCTATTTCCAGAGCTGGCTTGATCTGTTGCTGCCATCAGATGTGCCTTGAAATAGACTTCTGATTTCAGTATGGTACAGAAATTAAAAATAAATTGTATCATACTTCTCTGCATGGAAAATTGTACATCTTCATGATGTTTTCATTGTTATAAATCTAGTTAGACATGTGTATTGTATCTATGCAATACTTCGCCGTAGTGGTGSCTATTATATAGTTAATCTGATAAATTGGGTAGTTCTCAGCAAGTGACTGTTTCAGTCAGTGGTTGCTCTGAACAAAAAAAAAAGAGGCATTTTAAAGGTACTGGAGATCTTGGGGGATGTGTATCTTTTCTACTGGRCTGTCATAGTGCTTGGTGCATGAGACCTCATGATGCCTGTGGCTTAAGCCTTTGGAGGCCTGGGTGGTTCTGTTAAGTATGCCCATGCTGATGGTTGAAGTCAGAGTGGCTTGCTTTATTCTCAACTAGGAGTTACATTTTATAAAGTGAGGTTATTATTTTCTAAATTAAGAACATTATTTAGGAACATGCGGATGAAGACACTACATAAGGGTGGTTTTTAATTAATTCTGCTCTAAAGGAATTAGGAAAAAAGTTTGTGGGAGTCTTCAGGAGAAGCAAAATTCAAGCAAAGAAGTAAAATTATAAAAGTGGGTTGGCAAGTTGGTAGAGTTTAATAGCTTTTTTTCTTCAAAGAGTAAGTATTTTTTCTTTCTGGTCAAATTGCTGTCTGAGGATCTGGTTCAAGAGAGAGACGAGGGAATTAAGAGCTTGCTTCCTAGATAGTAAGCATTCTATGGAATGATCAGTGAGGTGTTGATAGCAGGAAGCACTCCATCAGCTTAAGAAAGCTTTAATGGGAGGGGAAGGGATGTAGGGACAACCTATGGTAAATAATGTAATAGTTCTAAATTAGCTAGCTGATAAAAGTGAATTAAGAAATACGTACTTTTTTTTTGAGCTGTTCTCCTGGATATGGACTTTTTTTGCCCTTCAGCATTTTGTGCTACCTTCAAATTWATAATTTCTTACCAGAGGTTTATATTTAATTCATGAGGCAGTCTTGTGTTTAGTATCTAGCTAGGTTCAACTAGGTGGGGGGAAGAAAATGTCAAAATGTCAGTACTTACTTTTTTTAGTATATTAGTACTATCTGAAGCATCTGAAGTCAGAATACTGTCAAGACATGTTTTCTCTGATTCTTATGATAATAAATGTCTTTTGGAATTTGMTTCCGAACAATTAGCTAAATTTGCTGTAGTTGGTGATTTTTGTAAGTCTATCAAATAAATATTTAGCTGATTTTATTAGTGTCTTTTGATATTATTCTGTAGATTGGCTTCTTCCCAGAATCACAGTAGTATTTGTATACCGTCATTCTTTCCTTAACCTTACATTAAAATGGGATTAGCAAAGTTTGTTCTTTGCAGGGTAGATGTGTGCAGTGTATACAGCAGTGGTTTGGTCTTTCCTGTTTTCTGGAGACTTTAGGCTGATGCTCATGTTGGCAAATTTGTGGTGGTACAGCYTTTTATAGTGAAGGGGATGATTTGATTCTGGCTATCCTTCGCCAGATAACTTATTAGAGACACTTCAGCTTCCCAGATTTGGTTTTAGGTATCTAATAATGTTTTTAATTTAGGCTATTACGTAAAACATGGGGAAGGACCTCTCAAAATTAAAAGTACAGCAGGAGTTCTTCATTGCTCCGTAAAAATACCCCATTATTGTTATCTGGCGTTAGTCTTGTGTATTTGCAGCTAGACTTTGTAGAGGCTTGTGTTTGTAGTGATTCAGAGATGAGTTCATGCCCAAGTGTATTTTGACATTGCTTTGCATTTTTGGTCTTGCCCTTCCTCTGTTTTGACCTTCTTTGCTCCCTTTTTCTGTTTTTAGCTGCTCTGCCCTACATTGCCTCTTGCTTGCATCTCTTCTGCATTCTCTTCTAACAAATGACTATTCCAGTTGCACCATCTATCCCTGTCTGTCCTTTACCACTTCCCATACTGCTCAGGTAGTCTGCTAATCCTTTTTCTTTCTTTGAAACAAGAAAGAATTAGAGCTGTATTCTTTCATTTCAGTTCTGGGTTCTGTGACCAAGCCAAAGCAGCAGACATGTCACTACAGGGAGGATTCCACCTGTTTTCTAGCCTGGGCTGAAACATGCAGAGATGTGAATGACTGTGCTTGAGATCAGTTTTATCTCCAGGTGCCTGCAGGTGTTTACAGGCTCTGAAGTTGGCCAGATGCAGGTAATACATAAAGCAGAAATAAATGAAAAAACATATTTCTGAGAATGTGAGCTGCTAATCTCCTATTAGGAATCAAACTATAATATCCCTTGTAACTTGAGAGGTATCTTTTTACTTTTCAGAAGGATTTTCTGAGCCTGATGTTAAAAGTCTGTTAGGTACTGGGGGATTAATGATTAGTATCTAGTTCCTGGCTTATTTTATTCTTGGGTATATTCCCAATATCTCTGAAGGAATTGGCTAACCTGGCCTGGGAAGTGCCTACCACAATGTTTGAACATTAGTGTTTTAAGGTAGGCCAAAAATGCTTTTGTAATTAAAGATGGACTGTAAACTGTATCAATTCTATTTAGTTGCTTTTTGATTTTTTCTGTTAAGAGTGTGATAAGCTGCACTGAAAGGAGGGGAGTCCTCCTCTGGAGCTCTTGTATTAGCTGTGGGATTCTAGCCTTTTGCATGCAGACCAGTTTGTAGGTTGTGCGTTTTATGTTTGTATATATTTTAGAATATGATAAATAGTGATGGAATGACCTCAATTAAACTAAGTCTCTTGCATTGCAAATGCTGCCTGTATTTTTAGTTAATCTTGCTTTGTCTTTAATGCTTTATAGCACTAGTGCCCAAAGTTTTCAAATAGTGTTTCAGTAGAACAGGAATAGGATGTGATGTGTGGATTTCTACCTCCATGGAATCTGTGGTGTTGATCCAGAACTTCACTGGTGTTCTGGGTGTTGCCCGGTGTGTCCATTCTCATGATAAGTTAAGGGAATGTGAGTTACTTTGTGGGAAGGGGTTGGTGCCAACCAATCATGAAGGCCATGCTGTTTCCTGCCCTTGACAGGTCCTGTGGGGGTTGTCTTTGTGGCCATTGTTGGAGGTGCCTGGTTATTGTTATTTGATGTCACTTTATAGATGTGGCCACATAATATCTTCAAGAGCTGAGAGAAGGAGATTTTGCATGTAATAACTTCTGTATTGAAATCTTTCTGRCAAGGACTTCTGAAAGATCTCTTTTTACACGTTTGCATCTAGGTAATTCAAGTGAACAGTGTCTTAGTGTCTGCAATTACATAGTTTGTGTAACTCTGTGTCTACTTTGTCCCACTGCTCAAGTCATCAGTGAGGATGATAATCAGTGTTAGTCCCAGTACTAATCCCTGGGGAATGCTGGTGTGAGTGGCCTCCAGCTGAACTTTGTGCCATTCACCACAGCCTCTTGAACTCAGCAGTGCAGCCAGTTTTCAGTCCACCTCACTGTCCACTAATTTAGTTGGTAGTTCATCAGCTTGTCTGAGTTTGTGGTGGTAGATGTTATTGAAAGCGTTACAAATGTAGAGAACATCATCCACTCTTCTCCCATCAAGGTTACAGGGTTGGTCAGGCACAATTTCCCCTTCATAACTCTATTTTCATTATTTCCAATCACTTTGACCTTCATATGCTTGGGAATGGCTTCTAGGTTTACTTGCTTCAACAGCTTCCTTTCACTTGGCACTGGTGGGGCCACATCTGGAGTGTAGCATCCAGTTCTGAGCTCCCCAGTGTGCCGGAGGTGGAGTTATGGAGTTACTGAAGAGAGGCCAGTGGAGGGCCACTAAGATGATTAAGGTACCTTCCTCATATGAAGAAAGGCTGGGAGAGCTGAGACTGTTCAGCCTAGAGAAAAGAGGGCTCGGCAGGATCTTCTCACTGTGTATGATTACCTGAAGGGAGGGTGCCTTCTGAAGGCAGAGTCAGGTTTTTTGGGGGGTTCCCTGCCCAGTGACAAGAAGTAATAGGCACAAACTGCAACAGAGGTCATTCTCTCTGAGCATCAGGAAACACTTTTTTACTGTGAAGGTGACTGAGCACTGTCTGGAGACTGAGTCTCTATTATTTAAGATATTTAAAAGCTCTCTGGACATAGTCCTGGGCAACTGACTCTGGGTGACAGTGCCTGAGCAGGGGGGTTGAACAAGTCAGTCTCCAATAAGCCCTTTCATTGGGAGTTTTTTGGTTTTTTGTTTTTTTTTTTTTTTTTTTTTTTTTTTTTTTTTTTTTTTTTTTTTTTTTTTTTTTTTTTTTTTTTGTTTGTTTTTTTAAGTTTTTTTAAATGTTTGTATTCCTAATCCTATTTCACTAAGGATAAGTCTTCCTTACATCACATCTCAGGGCCTGGGAATCCTGAAGGCAAGTCTTGTCATTGAAGATGACATGGAGTATCAGTCTTCTGTGTCCTTTGTCACCAGATTCGCTGGCCCCATTCAGCACAGGCTCACACTTTACCTTGTCTTCACTTCCTTTAACTCATGATGCACCTGTAGGAGCCATTCTTACTCTCCTTTTTGTACTTTGTTCCTCACCAGATTCAACTCAAATGGGTTTTAGCTTTTCCGTTCCTACCCTTGCATGCTCAGACTGTGTTTTGATTTCTCCTGAGTAACCTGTCCATGCTTCCGCCTCTTTGGAATTTTTTTTGAGTTTTGTCAGGAGTGTCTTGTCCATTCATGCAGACCTCTGGCCACCTTCACTCAGGAGCATCTTGTCCGCTGATGCAGACCTGCCACGTTCACTTAATGTCCTGCACATAGGGATGGAGCATTCCTGAGCTTGGAAGAAGTGACCATTGAAAGTCTCATCTCTTAAGATCTTAAAAATGATTGAGTAGTAGCAGAATAGCTTTATTTCCATCCTTCAGTTTTCAATTCTGTACTCTTAGAAGAAGCGAAAGTAGTAGGCTGCTAGAGTGTATTTTGTGAAATCATGAACAGATGCCTGAGTTAACAAATACAAAGTTACCCTTGTGCATCGAATCTCTAGTTACAGGCAGCTGTAGAAGATTTGTTTTATCATTTGAGATTACTTTTGTTTTCCTAAATACAACAGAATATTATTTATCATTTTCAAAACTATCATCCGAAAGTAGAAAGTGTTAGGCATATAGATGATTTTGATACCTGTACAGACAGCGTATCAGGGTTTGTTAAAATGGTTCTGTTTTACTGCTTTGGTAGTCACTACAACTTACTCTGGTTTTAACTATTGTTTTAGCAGACTTTCACTGGGATATGATGAAACGTCACCAATATATTTTTCCATTCTTTTGATAGAATGGGATACAGGTTGATACCAATGTTCATAAAGCTTCTCTTCTTAGTTCTTCAAAACCAGTGATAAAATGTTCAGMTCTTACAGTCTTAGCTGGTTTCCTACACCTATTTGCAGGTTTATTTATTCAGTTTTGCTGATTGAATCCTTGACACAAAAGCATTTCTTTAATGCRTCTGCATGGATTCTTTCTTGTTGAATATGTTATTCAGATACAGGCCAATAGCTATTTCTAAATGCCTGCAACCCATTTGTCCAGGATTTAGTTTTTTACTTAAACAGAACTGACTTTTTAAAATAGGCTCACAACCTTCTGGGTCAATTTCCCCTGCCTTGTACAGGCTGTGGCATCTGGGTGGTCTGTGAGCTTCCAGGTGACACTGTTAGTTAGAGCTGTTGTGATTCAGGAAACTGATGACTGACACATTTCAACAGTGTTGTTGTGGAGCTCCATCTCTAATCTCTGTAGCCAGCAGCCCTTCTGTAACTGCTACTGCTCACTGTGGAGGGYAACTGCCTAGGTTTGGATATTCCTGGTATGTCTTGATGGTTGTAGGCTGTCATTGAGATACATTATATGTATGTATGTATTTACAATCTTGCAACTGGATAATCTTTTCTTTGGAAACTGCCTTTTTCAAATGAAGTAGATCTTAGCAGGAAGCTGAGCCTGTGTATGGATGKTTTTTTTTTTTGCTTAAGGAACTTAATGTGCTAGGATAGTATTTTTAGACTTGCAGTAAGTAGTAAGGGTTGGCTGGTGAAGAAAGAAATGGCTGGTTACTTTGGATGACCACCTACGATGTTTAATCTTCCCCTTTGCTAAGCTGAGTGGCATTGATAGCATATTAATATATTAACTCTCCTTGAAATAGAGAAGCATCCATTCCCTCTGGAGTATGCTGCACCTGATTCTGTCAGTCAGAAGCAAGTAAAATGGATGTTGTCAGACCAATTTGAGAAGCTTTGTGTGCTGATACAGTAAGTATGCTGATAGAACTGAAAAACTTAGAGTTGCAGAAAATGACTTTTGGGTTTTCTTGTGGCTGTCAAATTCAGATTGGGTCTATTCTCTGCCCCTATTTCCAAAAGACAGCATTCAAGCAGTTATWTGTTCCCAGCTGATGCTTGGGAAGAGTGAGCTCTATAAGGGCTCATGAAATGACTATTTTTACATTTGTCAATGCCCTATTAGAAAATAGAAATCCCGTTTTCAAGACAGTGACAGATAATATTATGATTTCCTTCTGTCACTGTAGGATGCCTGGCTTCTACAACCTGTTTCTCTTGCTTACAGTCTTCGAATCTATGCCTGAACATAAAAAACTAGCCAGTTGCACTTTAGGCATTTAGAAGAGAAAAATGAATAAACTAATATGAAAATTGCTTGCTCAATTCTGTGGTGTCTAAGAGTTGCTCTCTAAGCGGTTTGGAGATATAGCGTAGAGTTTTGTATAATGATATGAACAGCCAAACAGTTTGCAAACTCTAGTAAGTGATTGCAGTCTTAAAGGCATGGTGTATACCTAGTTTGAAAGTGGGAGGTTAGTGTAGTGATTCCAGTTTTATTTGTTATGCTGGGGATTTACTGGAGCACTCCAAGACAGCAAAATTCTGTGCAACTTTGAGGAACATTTTACCTTCTGTAAAGATAAAGTTGTATCTTTTCTGGAAAACTCTCAAATGGCAGATCAGGTTAATAACAAAAAGCTGGTTTGAGCACATTTTTGCCGACTTCTGTCCTGACAGTATATGACATGTTGGCCTAAGGCATAGGACATGAGTAGTCTAGTTTTGGAAAGTGCTGCTGCTCCCAGAATGCATTTTTCTCTGGTGGATAGAGATTTACCAGTATCACCTGCAGCAAGATATCAGGAGCAGCTTTGCTACAATAGCCACAGTGTTTGCATTCA